TGCTATCCTTCTAGTTACATGTTCTATAAAAGTATTCTCACATATATTTCATATTGATAAATTTTGGATCTTCTATGCAAAAATTCTATCAGAATTATTTTTCAATATAATTTAATCAGCAGGAAACAGATATGTGTTATGTTACTTTTGAGAAAGGTTTTCATTAACAGTCCATAACCTCTGACATTCAACTAAAATACGCGTGGGTTGTATATGGGTGTGCAAGAAAGAAATATTAATCATTTCTATAAATTAATTAATGTTTTATTATATACTTAATTACCTTGGATATGATATTTTTAAAAATAACATAGCAATTTGTGTAAATTAGCGCAAGTAATTAAACTTAAAATACATTTTATTAATCATTATATAATAATGAAACATCAAACCGTAAATAGACTTTGTAAGCTTAATATTACATCTCTTCAATGTTCTTTATTAAAAAATATATAAATATAACGGTGTTAAATGCGTTTCACTTTCCCGTTGGGAATCTTTATTATTCATTTTGTGAAAGTTCATTTAATATCATTTCACATCACAAATTGTAACAGCTATTCTACTTCAATTTCTACTAATGATTTACTCTTGTTATTAATATATTATTATGATAATTAACATCATTAGAGAGAGTGTTAAACTAGTTTCATTTCAAGAAATGGAAATGTATTGAATTTTTTTTGCAAATAATGCGAATTTATATTGACTAATGTGATTGATGAAAATAATAGCAACTGTAAATTTTCTAAATCGATGTACCACATATAATTGATAAAAAATAAAAAAAAGTGTTACATCAAGTAATTTAATTTTTTTATCAAGCAAAACCAGCTATTTTTCATATATTACGAAATTATGTAGGTATAAGTACTTTAATGTTGCATAGATGTTAAAATGTGATATAAAAAGGAAAAATGATTTGCAGTATTAAGACAATTTAACATTTATTACTCCAAGTTAATATTGAATATTTATAAAACCAAATACGAATATTTATAAAAAGACTTGAATTGCTTGGATACAATGTTTTTTTAAGTTTAACTTAAATTTTTCATTTCAACCATCAAAAAACTAGCAAATAATCTTAAAAAAGAATACTATTATTTACACAGTTTCTATTTATAATATTTGAAAAACACTAAACGAACACTTTCAATTTTATGTAAATATATTATAATACCATATAATACTAGTACCATGTACAATACCAATATAAATACATTATAATGACGTTTATAATACAAATACCATTTATCATAGAAACTAAAAGACACAATCCTATAGAGACTGATTTCAGAAAAACATTTGAATTATCTAAATTACGGGGATAATTCTGCCGTAAAATAGACCAAAATGTTATGCAATGTTATCTGTTTATTTAAGATGGTACTAATAACTGTCAAAATGCTATGTATTTAAATGTAACTTCACTCATATGTTATTAAGACACATGGGAAAGGTGCGATTTTTTTTTACCTTTGAGTGATTTCTAGTTTAGGCTTTATATTTAAACGCTTGACAGCACAACAACCACCCAGTATTTTGACAATTTTTGGTATCATTTTATATGAAAAATGACACGTAACCCAGCCTTACTATAACATTGCCCTTAAATCTCAAAATTCGTTTATTCGAACAAGCTTCAAACATAAATATGTCTATTATATGGCATAACTATGTTCCAAATTATGCAGATATTGCAAATGCTAATTAGCTGGTTCAAAATTATTTGTCTGTACTTGAGTTATGGGTTTCAAAATGCAATATCAAAATCAATATTTACTAATCTCATTACCTAAAATTGTTAGGCTAAAACATAACAATCCACCTCTTCAGCTTAATAACTCAATAATATCTATCTGCATTTGTATTAAATGGGAGTCACGGATACATGAACAACTGGAAGAGCAAATAAGATCAATATTGATTTATCGAGAGAAAATCCAATATTGTTCTTTATGGTAAAGTAAATTTGTGACACCTTTGCACCATTAATATAATTCAAAGATCATTTAATTTAACATCGAAAGCTTCTATAAAAACTTCCAAGTTTAAACTTTAGTTGATTACGTATATTAAAACAAAAACTAATCTTATAGAAATGATTTCCAAAAAAATCGAACCAAATCTGCCAAGTCGATTCATTCTACTGCGAGACAACAAGAATATTACACATTTCATTGTTAAAAATATTTATATTTTTATAAAAATGAAAATAAAAACCGATAATGATGTAAAATAAAACTTTCTCACACCATGAAAATTACATCTACTTTACACTGACTTTGATCTGAGTTTTATCCTCTTCCCACCATTTAACTCGATAATTATATGCTTTTATATAAATTGTGTACATTATAATACTATCAAAATTATATCTTTATTAGCAGTTCACTAACGTTTGAATAAGACTTCTTTCTAATATGTCAAACCATAAAAATGATATGAAATTCATTTTTCATGTAATTATATTTTAAATTGATGACTTTGGTCCCTGGAGGGTTTCATATAGGTACTAGTTGAAGTAAAATATATATGACGATATAATGTTGCTATGCGAACAATTTCTTTATACTTCTGTTAGTAAATAGTGACCAATAGACTTGGAAAGCAATGCAAACAATTTACTGTGTGTTTGTAAATAATTTTGCTCTCGCTTTGAAATTAAACATAATATTTTCAATGTGCTTAGAATGAATTTACGGTTTAATTATAACTGCATTTACATCGACTTCATGATATTTTAAATTTTGCTATCATTATTATTTTTCCTAAAAATTCAAAATCTCTATGAGTTTACATATGAATGGTTGCTCCTGTATCGAATGAAGAAATCAAACAAAATATCTTACTTTTGACTCTTTAAAAGCAATGCGGTCTACGGATCATGTTATTGTCTCAATGCAATAATGTAAACTTGTTCGTAAAAACATACTTTACCTTTCTTTCTTTTGGGTCCTATCTTAAATTATGTTTTTTACTCTTCTTGACAACCATGTCATTAACTTCCCGAAGGAGAAGCTTATGTTTTCATAAAAAAATCCGAATTGCCAATTTTATGTTTTCTCGACGTTTCAAGCCATTCTAAATCGAATGAGACCAAATTTGGAAAAAGTATGTGTATGTGTGTATGTGCGTGTATGTGAACAGATTTTTTGTCGTAAATCGTCTTTTTCTCAAAAACGGTTGGACCGATTTCAAAAATTTAAAAGCCATTTGATGTATTTCGATGAGGGCTAGCGTTTCCCAGTTTTGTGTGACGATCGGCCAAGCCGTTTCTTTGTAAATCGCAGAAAAGTGAAAAATTTTTAGTCCACGTTTTAGTCCGCAATTCTTAATCGATTTTGAAAATTCAAAAACCGTTCGAAAGATATTGGTTGGGAATCGTGCTGATTAGTTTTTGGTAAACATCGGCCGGGCCGTTTTCTTGTAATAAAGTTTAAAAAAAAATCGGCGATTTTTATTATTATTATTTTGACAGTAGATACCATAGTCTTCTAGATCATACTAAAATATTACGGCCCTACGACAACTCGTTTAGCTTTAAAAATTCATCAAAGTTTGCAAAAATTAGTATCGTTCTTTTGGCATTTGTCAAAATTAGACCTTTGATCAACGTTTTCTCAGAAACGCCTGAACCGATTTCAGAAATTTAAAAGCCATTTGATGTATCTCAATGAGGACTATCGTTTGTCAGTTACGTGAGACGATCTGCCACATTTAAGCTCAAACTACCGAATCGATTTTAAAAAATCAAAAACTGTTCGAAAGATATTCGTTGGGAATGCTACTGATTAGTTTTAGGTGAAAATCTACCGAGCCGTCTTTTTGTAATTAACTGTTGAAAAAAAAATTTAAGCCCATTTTTTATGGTATTTTTTTGGCGATATATATCAGGGTCTTATAAAACTTACTGAAATATTACGGCCTTACGACAAGTAGTATAATTTTAAAAATTATCATAGTTTGAGAAATAATTTTGACATTTTTTATTATTACAATTAGAGGATTTACTTGGTATAACGATGATAGTACTGGGTCTTAATGAACATACTAAACAATTAAAGTCTTACAAAAAACTGGCTCTATTATAAAAACGATTGATTTTTGAAAATTTGTTTTTAGAAAATACTCAAATACTCAAAGTGTTCGTTCGTTTTCAATTTTGTGTAATAAATCCACTCGGAATACTTTTAATGACTCATAAATTAATTTATTTTTTATTGATTAAGTAAACATATCGGAAAGTTCATGTAACTTGCCTCAAGGCTACATACCAAACCAACTAGTTTATAAATCTATCGAAAATTGTATTGACATGATTATTGAATTAAGCAAATTATATTCTTGTAGATCTCAGTTAGTATTACAGTTAAAATTTCTCAGTTAGTCTTACAGGAAATTGATCTATATTATAATAAACCAGTCATTTTTCAATTACAGCGAAAAAAAACAAATCATATTTGTGAAAAATATATACATAATGAAAATATTATATCATTATTAAAATTATCATTTGATCTTTATTCTATTTTTTATTGTTTTAGAGCCACTAATTTCATACTAGTGTGTATTTACTTATAAATGCTGTAAATAAAAAATATTGTGGCATTATAGAAACATGTACATAGATAAATTTGAAACAGAAAAAGACAAAATATTAAATATATTACGTTTAAAATTTCTTATCAGGATTTAGTGCGTTACTTGTACTGTTTAAATCCCTCTTCAACGTGATAAAGGGCCGTAAAAAAATGTTGGAGCATTTATAGAAATTACTTTTTACCATTTATGCTTTACTGCCTATTAGCTTTATTGTGCGCACGCACCTTACTATTTATTATCACGAAATATTTCTTTTGTTACTTTTGATATCATGCTTAGTTACATTTTCGTTAAAGTCTTTTTCAAATGGTTAATTTCTTAAGTAGAAAGATTACGTCGAGACTTGTACCTAACGAAGGGTATTTTTGTCTGCGGACGTTGTTCTTTTCTAGAAACTAAATCAAAGCGCTATATTGTTGAAACAGTCACAATGACCGCAGTTACCGAGAGGCGAATAGTCCGAGAGGCCTCCGCAGATGCAGGCAATAGGAACTCTACCGCTGCTGCTGGGGCTGATGTTACGGATTCGTCCACGATGAATTCATCAGGAGCGGCGAATGTTACATCGAACGTGGATGCAGTGGCTGCTTCGTTGAATGGAATATTGAAAGGTGGAAGGCTGTGGAAAAGCACCAGCGATTTACCACAGGTATGTTTATATAATAATATAATTACATATATATATATATATATATATATATATATATATGTGTGTGTGTGTGTGTATGTATCATATATATGTATCATAATTTGTTATATAGTATCTACCAGTAAAAAATATATTTGATTGATTTCGGAGCTGATTCGAAATACGGAGAAAAACTTCTTACAAGATAACCATCAGGTTTACTCTTCTGGGATTTTGATGAAACTTCGCATAGTTGTAGAGTTGGTTGTCAAACCGAACACCTTTAAATATTAGAGTCCCTAGAAGCAGTTTAATTAAAAAAATTAAATAAAAATTGATTAAAACTGCGAATAATGCGCTAGGCCCTATATCTCCGCGCGTTGCGCTTCATATCTATGTGCCGAGATAGCCGAGTGGTTGCGGCGCTTATTCTCAACTTTTTGTTCGAGGCCTAGGCTCATAGTCGCCAGTTCGAATTCCGCCAGAATATTTTTTTTATTTATTTTTACATCTATTTGGTTAAATATTATAATAATAATTATTAATTTGTTACATGTACTACACAAATATGTGAAATTTATAAATAGTAGATATTTATGAAAGCATTCTGAAAATAAATATATTTGCAATGCATATTGATAAAATAAAATAAAATAAAATATTTTTTTATAAATGATATCTGTTTAAATTAATCTATCAAAATATCAAACATAAATAAATAATAATATAAAATAAAACTTCAAGGCTTATAATTTGCTGGATGATATTTATCATAAAAGCATGAAAAAAATAAAAATGTATTGCAGTAAGCACACTTTAAAAATGCTGCTGTGTTACATAGACATTTGGCTGTTGTGTTACATAGACATTTGGGAAAGTAAGCGCGGCAACCACTCGGCTATCTCGACACATTTTTATTTAATTTCTTTTAATTAAACCACTTCTCATAGGACTCTAATATTTAAAGGTGTTCGGTTTGACAGCCAACTCTACAACTATGCTAAGTTTCATCAAAATCCCAGAAGAGTAAACCTGATGGTTATCTTGTTAGAATGATAACCGATTAAAGCTTTTATATGAAAAAATACGTTTCAATATTGCGCTTTGAAAAATCTATATTTTTATTTATTTTATCGTATTTTTATTATAGATTTGTCATTTTTTAACTTTTTGTGGTGATGAAAAAAAAATAAAAGCGTTTTTTTAAAAAAATTCAAAATTTACTCCACTATTTTTTAAAACAAAAAAATATATATAAAAACTCTTAAATAAATTATATATATTATATATGTTCAAAAAAATTGATATAGATTGAAAGCATATAAAAAATGTCGCATATTATTCGCTAAATTAACTACAACTACCAAATATTAATGCTTCATATATTAATTGCTTTTTGAAAGCAGTTGAATAAGTGTATCATAAAGTAGCCTCTCCATTTTATTTCTTTTAAATGTAAGATGACCATACGTCTCGGTTTGGCTGGTACAGTCCCAGATTGCTACCTTGTATCCCGGGTTTGTCTAAAAATAATATTTGTCCCGAATTTAAATCTTTCTTTCCGGTTATTTCGAAAACTAATAGGCAAATTAACAAAAATTGTAAAAAAATGAACAAATATTATTTTTGTCAAATTAATTATGAAGAAAATTGGATAGATTTTTATACAAGGATCAAAAGCGAAGAAAACATTTAGATTGAAAAATATAAGGTATAATATAATATCATATATAAAGAAATATTCCATTTAATAGAATAATAAAGTTCTCACTAAAAGTCCGCAATTCTCATTAAAAAAATATTAATATAGGAAAACTGTTTTTTTATTATATCCTTAAATAGCATTTGTTATTACCTTAACTAAAACACCATCAGTCACGGATTTTCATAATTAAAAATTGCTGTCCCGGTTTCAATTTAAAAAATATGGTCACCTATTAAATAGCGTGATCTAATAAATTTATCATGATTCCATAAATTTAATTGGAAAATAACTTAATTAAAAAAAAGATTTCATATACATGTAGTATAGGGTAGCACAATCATTAAAATTTTGTTCAATTTTTCAATATAATATGAAAATATATGAGTTGATCAGGTTTAAAATATTATCTCTTCATTTTATATAATATAATATAACATCCAGAATGTAATTTTGATGATCATTTATTCATTAAAAAAATACAATTATAAACACACACATAAATTTTATTATACATAATAATTATTTTAGAACAAAATATGAAAACAATACATACGTAAAATAATATTATATCGAGAATATCGTTCATATTATTGTTTATCTTCATCATAAATCTTAATACGTAATATAATACGCATTAGTATAAATTCATTAAAATATTCTCTTCATAATTTAATTCATGGATGCGAATTAAATATTCTAAAACTTTGTTATCAAATTATATTATTAATAAGTCAAATTAGCCAAATCAAAGAAAGTTTATTCAAAACTCAATTCAATGTAAGTGTGTGTGATGATCGTGTATGTACGTAATATAATCATTTTAAATGAAGATATATTTTATCCTGATTCTACTATTCGGAGATTTTATGGAGAGCTAAAAAAATATGGTCACCTATTAAATAGTGTGATTCACACTATTTAATAGGTGACGCTTTATATTATCACACTGTGTGATCTATTAAATTTATCATGATTCCATAAATTTGAATTTAAAAATAACTTTATTTAAAAAAATGTTTTTACATACATGTTGTATAGGATATCACAATAATTAAAATATTGGATAATTTGTCAATATAAAATGAAAATATATGAGTTGCATATTTATGATCAGATTTAAAATATGATCTTTTCATTTTATTCAGAAAACATTCAGTATAAAATTTTGATGCTTATTTATTCATTTAAAAAAATACAATTATAAACATACATATAAATATTATTATACATAATAATTATTTTAGAACAAAATATGAAAACAATACATACATAAAATAATATTATATCGGAAATATCGCTCAGATTATTGTTTATCTTCATCATAATTCATCATACCTAATATAATACGTATTTGTATAAATTCATTAAAATATTATGTTCTTAATATTAATTCATGAATGCAAATTATATATTCTAAAATAAAAACTTTGTTATCAAATTATATTATTAATCAAGTCAAATTAGCCAAATCAAAGAAAGTTTATTCAAAATTCAATTCAATGTAATTGTGTGTGTATGTGCAATGTCATTATTTTAAATACTGATATATTTTATCTTGAATCTAAAATTTGAAAATTTTATGGAAGGTTATTTATATAATAGATCATAAAAAATAAATGCTATTATTAACTTCCCGTAGGGTAAGTTATTGTAATGGGCCGAAAATCGGAATTGAAAATTTTTACATTTCTCGACATTTTGAAGGTTTCTGAACGTTTTGGCATACCTCAGAAAAAATGGATGTGTGTGTGTGTGTGTGTGTATGTATGTATGGATACAAATTTCCAGTCACGTTTTAGGACGCACGGATCAACCGATTTGAATGGTTCAAAAAACATTCGATTCCTATTGATAGGGAAAAGAGCTGATTAGTTTTTGGCAAAGGCAGGTCCAGCCGGTTCGGAGATACGGAGCAAAGAGTGCAGAAAATAGAAATCGAATTTTTGAGAGAACGGAGTATCCGATTTGAATGATCTAAAAAACATTCAATTAGTAACGATTGGGAGAAGTGTTTATTAGTTTTTGGCAAAAGCAGGCCCAGCCATTTCAAAGATACGGAGCTAAATATGTAAAAAATTGCAGTTTTTGAGAGAACTAAGCGTCCGATTTAAATGATTCAAAGAACTTTCAGCTTGTCTTAACAAAATAATTGATTTTGGAAAAAAAAAATTTTGTCCCATTTTTTTTTTTTTTTTAGTTTTTTGTATATCGAAAATATTTCAGATTTTATTTTATTATTTATATTATATATCAGTATTCAACGGGAAGTTCCAGCAATTTGCCTTAAGACACGATGCCATAATTGCCTCAAGACAGAATTCCACTTACAGCTAGTTAAAATTTGTATTGTATTGATAAAGTAATTTAACATTGTAAAATTTATTTTAGTTTGCTTCTAATATTTATACAATGTAATGCATAATAACAAATATTAGTAGTTTATTCATCATTGTTTAGCCATAAATTGTCTCTGAAGCAATGAAATATTAAGTATACACAAACATTTTCATGAAAAAAATTACTTATTTATTTACTTATTGGTTCATTTGTTTAGAGTCGCCTAAAAGTAACCGAACTTATACATCAATACTATAGTAATGCGTTATTTCATTAGAAATTTCTCAGATAATTTTATGTTTTATTTATATAATTATATGTTTTATGTAATTCAGGAGGATGCTACTAGTTTTTGTTCCGATGACGATAATGCAAGTCGTAGATCAGTTCGATTTTTCGAAGAAAATGACAATACCCTCCATGGAACATCCGAGGACCGCGATGACGAGACTTCATCGAACCCGAACGACAACCAGGTTGAAGAAGAAAGGACGGCAGAAGAATCATCTGTTGATAACGCACTTGGAAATTACCGTTTAGTCGGAGGTGGCAGTACTTTATATACGACATCAAATATTTTAAGGCCAAATTCGGCTGTAAGACAGCTATTTCCAGTGGTGGATGAACAAACTCAACAATCCAGGTGTGTATTGTTAAAATGTTAAATTAATATAAATAATAATAATTATTATTATTATAGACAACAGGCACGTTCTTGCCTTGTTTCTAACTTAATTTTCATTACATTTTTTTTTCGTGTCATGATTTTCAGTTTTCATCTTCTTATGTTTTCTCATGTCAGACTATCAGTATTTCTACGTTGATAGATAGAAGACAGACTGATGAAAACTACACTCTATAAGTAATTAAGTTGATCAAATGTTTTTTTATACCATGCTATCAATAATTATGTAGTTCAATTTACAAATATTCAATTTACTACATTTCATTTGTTTCCCCTTTTGTCTTTAGTGTTTTTTATTATATTAGCTCTACGCTACTGAGGGTATACTAATTTGTAAACAATTAATTGTAAACAACTCGTAAGCATTCTCTGCTAAATACAAATATATATAGATTGCAGAATAAAATTAAAGTTTAAAAAATTACAAATTTTATTACCCTCTATATGTTTCTCGCGCAACCAACAAATATCTAAAAAATGATAGTATCATTTCCATATTTGTTTAATATATTTTCTTATAGACAATACTCTAAAGAAACTTGGTAGAAATATAAAGTGCTAGTTTTCAATGTACATAAATGGAAATTTAGCACATATTACTAAATCTGGCAGTAATTGTGGGCAAATTAATAGCTGTAATTGTCGTGACTTTCACCCATTTTTTGAGAACTCAAACTATTTGAAGCGTTTCATAAACTGCATTCGAACTTATAAGCAACTGTGTAAAATTTTGCATCATTGTTTCAACTAAGCCATATTATATTTTTCAAACCTTTACCTACATTTACCGTTTACCTAACTTTCCGTAGAGTAAGTTATAGTAATCGCAAAAAAATAAAAAATGAAAATTTTTATATATTTTTACGTTTTTGAATATTTTGGCATACCTTAAAAAAATGTATATATGTGTATGTGTGTGCGGATACAAATTTTCGTCGAAGATTTCGGGAACACGGATCAACCGATTTGAATAATTCGATTCGGTTTGTATTGATAAGGAGACGTGCTGTTTAGTTTTTGGTGAAGGCAGGTCTAGCCGTTCCGAAGATACGGGGCAAAAAGTGCCGAAAACGGTAACTCAGTTTTTAAGAGAACGGAGCGTCCGATTTTAATCATTCAAAAAACATTTTACTTGTATTGACAAGATGAAGAATTGATCAAATTTTCATAAAGGCAGGTCTAGCGGTTTCAAAGATCTAATAAAAAAAAAGTAAAAAAATGCCATTTGGCGGTGAAAAATGATCATTAGACATATGCACATCAAATTTTGTCATTTTTTCTCTATGCAGTTAAAGCAGTACGATTGCAGATTGCAGAATTTCCAAAATATGTCAAAATAAAGAAATCATTTTTTTTTCAAAGACATTTTTTTCAAAAAAAGTAAGTTTTTGTCAAATTCCTAGTTTCTCAAAAATCTAATTTTTTCGAAGTCAATTTTTTTCAAAAATGTTAATCGTTTTTAAAAAAATAATAATATTTGGTACGGGAATTTCCAGCAATTTGCCTTAAGGCTAGATGCCATGCGCTCCACTAGTTTTTCCTCAATTTGCTTTAAGGTACGATACCATTCACCACTAAATTATTATTATGCATAGCTTACAAGGTTGAAACATTTGCATAGTGTTAAATAAAAAAACACTATCCTCCAATACGTTGAACAACTGAAGTTAAGGTTTGATTTAAAACCCAAAATTATTGTTCAGAAAACATAATCTACAGAATATTATCTGTCCATTGACATGCATTCTCTATTTTTTCTTTTAAACTGACTGTAATTAACCTTCCCAGGTATCTGGTTACTTCTGATAACCTTCGAGCGTTCGACGAGTCAAAGAGAACCAGACCGCTGGCTCCCGTTAATAAAGAGACTGATGAGGAGGCGGCGATCAGGAGAACTATCGAACGGAACGCTTTGAGGAGGTCGCTCATCAAGTACGAGCCGAAGCGAAAACAACAAAAGCAACCTGAAACCACCAGCTTGGAGGAGAGGATCAGACAGCTGACCTGTGTCGAGGACGACATTGAAGATGAGGTACGAAGTTTATTATTTGTAACAGTACTTTTAATGGAGTTACTACGATATTATTTTATAGGTTAATTTTATATTTACGAATAACTTTTTTTAAATAGCCAATTATACAAGTTCTTACAAAAATTTATATTGCAAGACATGTTCTAATTGAGTATGATAATATAAGTGAGCTAGAAGCTTGTTCTAACAGTTTTTTTATTAGTTAATAAATCTTAAGATCCACTGATTATATTTCTACGAAATAAAGATGTAGTGTATCTAGTTGTAGTAGCTATTCCTCGTCCGATTCGTGTAAGAATAATTTCACAACTGCTGTTCATTATTTCACAATTAATCCATTTCTAGAAAAAGTGCTGCGTTACAATTTATTTCGCGTTTCGGGCAAGTAGTAACAACAAAGAATATTCGTATTTAAGAAAATTGACTTGTTTCTAGTAATTAGTTTCATTTATCCACGCAAACTAGAATTAATACAAAAAACATATAGCCTCTTTTAATATAAGTCTTTATCATAAATCAACGAAAACTACATTTTTTAACATAATAAGAATAAAAAATATAGTGTCTCCTGTAACAATTTACATTTTCCCACTTCCGACTAACTGTACATTCCCTCCAATCTTCTTCACTTGAATTTGTGTATAATTCTTGTATGTTATAACTAGCCCTGAAAGGTTGGTTTCAACTAACGCCAGGTGTATTTTTTTGTTTCTAAGTAATTAATTTCATTCATCTACACAAACTATAATTAATACAAAAAATATAGTGCTTCTCTTAATATAATTTTTTATCATAAATCAGCGTAAACTATATTTTTTAACATAATAAGAATAAAAGATAAAGTGTCTCCTATAACAAGTTACATTTTCTTACATCTGACTAACTGTACATTTTCTCCAATCTTCACATGAATTTGTGTATAATTCTTTTATGTTATAACTAGCCCCTAATATAGTAGTAATTATTATTAATTTTGACTTTAAAATTTGCATAATATTTGGTATTAAAATTTGTTTAAATTAAATAAATTTTCATAAACGTTTTCAGTTTTTTAAAATACTCTTTATTATATTGTAAGAATTCGTTAACTTGAACTAGATAAATATAGATGTATATTGAAAAATATATTTATTATCGACATTTCATTAAGCATGAGACATTGTTTATTATTGAAACTTCAATGAAATAAATGAAAATTAAAGCAAATAATTTTTGAATATTTATATGATCAAATAAAAACTCATTCTGTTGTTTCTGTTATTTCAAATTTAAATACATGGAGAATAAAATATATATCAAAACCCATTAATTACGATCATAGCTATTTATAGATAGAAAATATGCCAACATATTTCAATAACGTTTCTCTTTCAATTACATTTACATACATGAAAGCAATTTATTGAATTATTTTGCATATGTAATAAATAATAATCATTATTTGTATGTAGTTTTATTTTGTACAAGAAGGGAGATTATTATTCACATTTTAGTTATAGAATCAGTTAAAATATTTAAATAGAAAACAATTGCAGTAAATTTACAAATATCATACATTTTTAGTGAAACCCCTAATTTATTTTTTATAAATTTTCTTTCAATTTGAAATTACAGATCTTTTTATCTTAAGATTCAGATTCAGATTCTAAATTTATTATCAAAAGAAATGGAAATTTACCGACCTATAAACTGAAAAGTATTGCAATTTCAGTAAGTAGGTATCCAGTAGATACTATCCACTAATTGTTTGCTGAGATAATAAACATCTAAATTACATTAATTTAAATATATTAGGGAATCATCTGATTGTTACTAATAGTCACTAAAGAATATGCTGTTGAAGTAAAAAAAAAAACATCAATATTACTTCAGATTATGGCCTCGTGAATGCATCGTTAACACTTACCATGAAGTATATTTGCTTTAAATACTTATTGCCGCGGTTTCCAAACTGTGGGACGCTTTTCCTCAGTTGGAAGCTAGGTTGTTGCAAGAAGAGCATACTGCTGTTACCAAATAAACATACAAATTTGGAAAATGAACAGAAAAATTAAAATCATATAGAGAAAATATGAGAGAATAATTATTTTGTATGCATATTTCTACATAATATTAAATATTATTAATTTGTAGTCTGATAATATCAGTTGAGTATTTATGAAATGAAATTGCTAAAAAATCTAAAGGGGGGACAACAATTTTTTTAATTACAAAGGAGTGAGGTGCGAAAATGGTTGGAAACCACTGACTTATTGCTACAATAGTAAAATATATAAATAATCATTTCCAGGCCAAACCGGAGGAACGGGATAGTCCATCCGGCGAAGAAGCCTCTGACACAGCACCCGCGCCCACTTCGAAGCGAAATTCATACCCTACCCAGGCGCAGCTGGCAGCGAATCACATCAATAACCCGACTGGCGCTGGCGGTGCTCCAATTTCTAGTTTCTCTCCCTGCTCATCTAGTAGTATTTCTTCGACGTCGTCGTCTTCTAATAGTTCATCGTCCGCTTACAGGAAGATAACAGAACTGTTTACCAGAAAATCGACTACACATGAAAAGATACCTGAGGCAAATGAGCGGGAAGATCAGGATAATCCGATAGTGCTTATGCCTCAAGGAAATGCGGTACGTTATGAATTTGTTGTTTTTTATTCCAACTAAAACCTATGATGCTCAGTATGTAACGTATTATCAAGAAACTTATATATTTACATAAAGCTGCTTTTATTCAGATGCTTTTGAGTTAATATTTGTGTTATATATGGAATGCGTTAGGTTACTGAAATATTATTGTCTACCGCAGAAGTATTACAATAGATTATAGCGTATCGCAAATAATCCGATTTATTACATTAATAATAATATAATTCATATTAAAGATTATCTATAATAATAAAATAACTATCATTATATTATGCGTGCGGAATTGTAGTATGTTTATAATTAGATAATACGTTTGTTAATTTCCTGCTTTAATTTTACTCTGACCATATATGTCCAACTGTTATAATTTAGTATCATAGTTCATGAGGATAAATATTATTTGTAACATTTTGAAATTTGAAAATAAGTTTTGGTTCTCTGAAAAGCTGCACTGATTTGTAAGATGGCGATTTTACTTTTCAATATATACAATTTTGCTTCTTTTTAACTTCCTGTAGAGTAAGTTATAGTAATACCAAAAAAATCAAGAATGAATTTTTTGCATAACTTTACGTTTCAAAGGTTTTTGAATATTTTGGTATACCTCAGAAAGAATCTGTGTACGTGTGTGTAGTATATATATATATGCGCGGATACAATTTTTTATCGACGATTTCGAGAACACGGATCAATTGATTTGAATAATTCAAAAATTATTTAGTTTCTATTCATGGGATGACGTGCCGATTAGTTTTTTGCCGAGTCATATCCAATCGTATCGAATATACTGGACAAAAAGTGCCGAAAATAGTAATTCAATTTTTAAGCGAACGGAGTGCCCCATTTGAAAGATTAAAAAAACAATTTACTTGAATTGACGAAATGAAGATCAATTTTCGGGAAGACATGTCTAGCCGTTTTGGAGTTTCAATGAAAAAGTAATAAAAAATGTCCTTTTGCTGTCAATAAAGATCATTAGTCATATGCGCATCTAATTATCAGATGTTTTACATAGATTTTAATAAAAAGTGCAGGTTCTGTTAACATTTCCATGAGTTCTGAATCAAGATTTATAATGATGAACCGTTAGACACCATCGCGCTTCATAATTATCAAAAAAGATAAAAATAATTGGTATTCGTATTTTGCCTTGAGGCAAGTTACATGAACTTCCGGACAGTAAACATATTGATATTTCTTGTAAGAATTCATGTAATTTATTCCAATCATTTAAATTGTTCTGTATGAGTGTCCTCGCATATCCTAGTCAAAGAATGAAAATCTTATGATGAATGCTCCATCTGAGAGCATCGGTGAGGCCCAGCCAAAAGGGTGGATAAATAGTGATTTTTTGCAATATCTAAGAATATTCGTCAAAGACACATGTGCAAACATTCCAAAGAGTGTAGATGGCTACATATATGATCAATGCAGGTTATTTTGAAATGTTCGGTACTAGGTGCCACTGTTTCAAATCATAATCTTTGATAACAAAGTTTGATTGATAGTATTAATTATTTTTTATTAATTATTTTAATTTAGGTTGATTTCTAACTTTGTTATCTAACATAAATCATAATTTAATAAACATTTCGTAAAATATTTTTTTATATGTTTATAAATAACCTTAGGTGTCCGCCACTAGGGGACTTTCCCCTTATTGGTTTAGTATGTTCATTCAGACCAAGTATTCTATCTTTATACCAAGTAAATCGTCTAATTTTAATTTTAACAACCGTCAAAAAAACTACTCATTTTCTCAAACTTCGATGAATTTTTAAAATTAAACTACTTGTCATAAGGACGCAATATTTCAGTAAGTTTTATAAGACCATGTTATATATCGCCAAAAAGTTCCATAAAAATCGTCTTACTTTTTTTTTTCAACTGTTAATTACAAGAAAATGGCTCGGTAGATTTTCACGGAAAATAATAAGTATCATCTGTCGAACAGTTTTTGATTATTTAAAATCGATTCGTTAGTATGAGCTTAAATGTGGACAAACAATTCAACACTTTTTTCCAAATTACAAAGAAACGGTTCAGCATATCAATTTAAATACATCAAATGGCTTTTAAATTTCTGAAATCGGTTCAGACGTTTTTGAGCAAACGTCGATGTCTAATTTTGACAAACGCCAAGAAAACGATACTAATTTTTGCAAACTTTGTCGAATTTTTAAAATTAAACGACTTGTCGTAGGGCCGTAATATTTTAGTATGATTTATGACTGCGGTACCTACCGTAAAAAAATTTATAAAATTCATCGAAAAAATTTTTATAACACCTTATTATAAGAAAACGACTCGGTCGATCTTTACCAAAACTAATCAGAACGATTCCCAACCAATATTTTTCGAACGGTTTTTGAATTTTCAAAAACGATTCAGATTTGCGGGCTAAAACGTGGACCGGCTTGGCCGATCGACGAACGGCTTGGCCGATCGTTGCACAAAACTGACAAACAATAGTCCTCATCGAGTTACATCGAATGACTTTTAAATTTTTGAAATCGGTCCAGCCGTTTTTGAGAAAACGTCGATTTACGGCAAAAAATCTGTTCACATACACACATTCATACTTTTCCCAAATTAGGTCTCATTTGATTCAGAATGGCTTGAAAGCTCGAGAAATCATAAAATTAGCGAATCGATTTTTTTATGAAAACATAAACTTCGGGAAGTTAAACATGTCATTTGACTGTCAATAATGATCATTAGACATATGTGCATCCAATTATCAGATATTTTATAGAGATTTTAATAAAAAGTTCAAATTCCTTTTACATTTCCATGGGTTCCGTATCAAGATTTATAATTTTTAGCTGTAACACTGCAACGCGGCCCTTATTCGCTTCATAATTATCAAATAAAAAATCAAAATAAGAAAATTTAAAGTTCTCAAAAAACTTTAAAGCGTTTAAAAAGTTTAAGTTGCGGTACTGGAAGTTTACTAGACTTTATATTATTCTTACCAAATATCACATAAAATTTTATTATTTTGATTGCTATTCATATTATCTATAAAAACATTAATATGGTCAATTAATCTATTTGACAGAATTGCAAATGTCCCTCGACGGCTCCTGATCTTGGCAATGGGCAACCTCATCAGCACATGCAATACGCCCCTCAGCCAGGAATGCTGCTACAAACGGGTGCGCACGTGCCTTTGGCAAACAGAACTTCTACGGCATCCGAATCAAGGAAACAGTTTCTATCGTCTCTTGCACCGCTTACGGCTTGTGTCAGCGCTAATCACCATGCCATGGGCAATCACGATGACTATTATTATCAGGTATACATCATTTTATTATAAGTACTATTTGTTATTTAATAATGTATGGTATTGATTTAATTGTTTACTTGAACCTTGTATTGCTGTTTTATATTCAGATATTACTTAAGTAATTGGTTAGCTATTTATTGTTGTATATAATTTTCAATGTAACAGAACACGATTATTAACTTCCCGTAGGGTAAGTTATTTTAATGGGCCGAAAATCGAAATTGAACAGTTGTTTAGATTGAATATTAGTTAAATTTTCTATACAAACCGACAGGATAAAATATATATTGCTTTACGATCTTTTTACTGTAAATATGTTAAACTGATTGGTGTAACAATTAGTTTTTTTTTAAATTATTAATTAATTTTATTTGAGAACGAGTAACTATGACTGAAATATTTAAGTCTATTTTTTAATTTCCGTAGGGTAGTTATAGTAATGGGCCGAAAATAGAAAATGTTTTTTTTGCATTTCTCTATGTTTTGAAGGTTTCTGAACATTTTGGCATACCTCAGAAAAAATTGATGTGTGTGTGTGTGTTTTGTGTGTCCGCATTTTTTAACTTCCCGTAGGGTAAGTTATTGTAATGGGCCGAAAATCGGAATTGAAAATTTTTACATTTCTCGACGTTTTGAAGGTTTCTGAACATTTTGGCATACCTCAGAAAAAATGGATGTGTGTGTGTGTGTGTGTATGTGTGTGTGTGTATGTATGTGTGGATACAAATTTCCAGTCACGTTTTAGGGCGCACGGATCAACCGATTTGAATGGTTCAAAAAACATTCGATTCCTATTGATAGGGAAAAGAGCTGATTAGTTTTTGGCAAAGGCAGGTCCAGCCGTTTCGGAGATACGGAGCAAAGAGTGCGGAAAATAGAAATCGAATTTTTGAGAGAACGAAGTATCCGATTTGAATGATCTAAAAAACATTCAATTAGTAATGATTGGGAGAAGTGTTTATTAGTTTTTGGCAAAGGCAGGCCCAGCCATCTCAAAGATACGGAGCTAAATATGTAAAAAATGGCAGTTTTTGAGAGAACTAAGCGTCCGATTTGAATGATTCAAAAAACTTTCTGCTTGTCTTAACAAAATAATTGATTTTGGAAAAAAAAATTTTTGTTCGATTTTTTTTTTTTTTTTTAGTTTTTTGTTGAAACAAATAATTTCAACTTTGCAATTCAGTTTATATAATTCTTATAAATATTAGACAATGTTACAATATTTATAATAATCTATTTGAAAACATTCAGTATTCCTCGAACATTTCGTTACGGTACGGGAAGTTCCATCAATTTGCCTTAAGGCACGATGCCACCCACCCCACTAGTTCGTTCATGTTTTCGGGCGCCGGAATCAACCGATCATTCAAGGTTTAAAAAACTTTTTGCTTGTGTTGAAATAATTGCTTTTGAAAAAAAAATTATTTAATTTTTTTTTATTGTATTTTTTTTTGAATATCGAAAATGATTGAAATTTCAATGTTAATTTTTGTTAAAGTTCTAAAGCTTACTTATATACTTTAAGTGAATAATTTCAACTTTGCAAATGAGTTTATATAATTCTTATAAATATTAGACAATGTTACAATATTTATATTAATCTATTTGAAAACATTTAATATTCCTCGAACACTTTGTTAGGGTATGGAAAGTTCCAGCAATTTGCCTTAAAGCACGATGCCATACAGATTTAGTTAAGTTTAAGTTTGCTTATAATGCCAGATATTTATTAGTTTGAAATACTTATGGTTGATAGCAGTTTAACTTTACTAATTAATGATTCTTTTTAAATTTTACTATACTTAATTATAACAATTTTAAATTTACTTTATGTGCAATGTAGATTTAAATAGTAAGTGAACTTTGAATAAGAAGCACATTGTATCGTTGCTTTAATATATTGCTTCGATATTTACAAAATTATTTTACAGCTTAACTAACAATAAGTGTTTTCAGCAAACGTTTCTTTAATTGTTACAAACATCGAATAACTTACACTGTGCCCTTACACTTTTTATTACACTTAATAGTATATTTTTGTTTTACTTAGAGTTACTTATTCTAAATAATAATGAATTAGTGTATGAATAAGACAATGAAGTTATTGAATAAAAAATAATTTGTATTTGATATTTTTCATTTTTAGTTAAGTCGACCTGGCGAGCGTGTAAGTGTTGCTAGCAGCGGTACACAATGTTCCGAATATAGTCTTGGAGACATTGATGAAGTGTTGATGAAAACTATTGCGCCTGCTCCCCCTGCTGTTGGCGTTCAACAGCAAGATGGCGAGCAGGTGGCACCTGATGTTATTGCAGGTAAATGTCGATTTTTTATAAAATATGAAATATATCACATATCACATATATAACGAAGTTGATTTGAAAATTCAGCATTAATAAATCAAAAATGAACTTGGTCTTAACAAAAAATTCAATATTAATCTATTTTTTAATACATAATGTTATTCACCACTACATAAATACCCTACTTCACTCATTCTCTACAAATATTCAGTATTTATTTTTCAATTGATAATTTTGGTTTATTCGCAGGAACCCCTGGTACTCCTGGATCTCAAGAATTGCCAATCCAAGATGAATTAGCTGCATTTGTTCAGCAAGATGCTAGTCGTATAGAACGAATAAAGAAACGATACGGTGCAGCAGAATCTATAAATACTAACAACGCAAGTGGATCTGATGATGAGCATGATGACTACGGCTTCAACAGACGTCCATCTGTGCGGGGAATCAAACCTAGGTAAATAGAAATGATTTATTAAATTGATGAGAAATCATGATATTTATTGATACGAAAACTGAACGCCTCATAGTATTTATTGATTCATTGATTTTTCACAAATATTGTCATTTCGATTCTAGTTACGCGTTAAATTTATTATGGCACCGAAAAATGTTGTTCGCTGCCATACTCCTGTATTTGATATTCATGTATTTGATATTGGCTACATTGAGTTATAGAGATGTTTTTTAATTGATGCTAAAAGATGGACTAGATAATATTGCTATATATAATATTGATATTAATTGAGATCATTGACTGCTGCAACCCACATTTAGTTAGAAGCAAGTTGTGTAGAAAAAGGTGTACTTTTGCATCAATTGTTTCTCTAGTGAAAATAAAATAAAATTGATTATTCATTCAACGTTTTTTAATTTGATTTTAGTGTTCTTTGGGTATTTAATTTTTCATTATTTGTTATAATATGTAACTATTTTACTCAAAATATTAAGAACTTACTAACTGATGATATCTGAATCTATTGATGTCATTATAATATTTGCCTATTTGTTCATTTTGTCCTTTTATAATAGACAATTTTAAATTAACTATAAAAAGTATTTTGAAGCACCAGTTTCACAATATATTCTGAAATTGAAACTTTATTCATGAAATATGCCTTTCCAGATTTGGATCAACTACGGAAATTCTACAACAGATGCAAACTCAGCTACAATCACCGCCGTCTACTTTAACCAAGAATCAACATATACATCCGCCAGCACAGCACCAGCCAATGCCAATTCAAAAACAACTTCCTAATCAACCACTACCGCAACCTGCTGCTGCAAATGTTGCGGCAGCCGCTGCTCAACAACAAGCACAATGGTATTATCATTACCAAGATCGAGATGGTAATCACAGGCATAGTTATCACCAGGAAGAAAATATGTACCAGAATATCTACGATCGCCATCCACATTACGGTATGCACCATCAACATCCTCATCAGCACCATCCGAATTACACGGCTGCAAGGAGTCCTAGTCGCGGTAGGCCTGAGTCTCCACCTCCTTTGAGAAATTATCACCAAACTATGGTACTGATACCGTATAATAATCAAGAAGCAGGATATGTGCACCAGCCTCATTACTCCACGAATGAAGTACATGCAACGGAAATGAGGATGCATGATAGGACCCAAGATAGGTAAATACTCAACTTATTTACATATCACTGAAAAAAAATTAATATTAGCGTTACTAATATGTAATACTAACATACATATTTTTTGTATATTATTTTATAATAACAAATTATAATTTTAACGTTTTTAGATATAGGCGGTCGTATCCAATGATGGAATATCACCATCATCAACAGCAGTCTCTTATTCACGTTGGCCAACAAATGATTCGTCTTCCCATGCCTAACAATGCTAATGTGCTACCTCCTGGTAATGCCCCAACAGGTAAAAACATTAAAATTTTTAATATATACAAGCGTCACCTATAGTCAGCATCCATATAACGACTTATGTGGACGCCTATAGAAGCGTTATGGATGTTTTTAGTTATATTTCTTTATTCAAAATTTGTACTATTAAATCAAAATATAATTTCTAATAATCTTTTTATTTTTTTTTTCAAAACAGGTTATGCATCACCTAGCCAAGTTCAATTACACTTAGTAACCGGACCTGGCCCTAGACCAGCTTATCCTATGCGATACAGTGGACCCCAGCGACAATATTCCGACTCTCCACCCGGTAGAAATCAGCAGCCTCAATACGCAAATACTGCTGAGCAACAACAGCAACAATATGGAGATCAACCCCATGAGGCTTCAAAATATTCAACGTTGACCAAATACCCTGAACGAGGAGTGCCGGAAGGCGCTGCTGCTATCACCGTTCCTCCTCAGCAAGATGGGTACACGATAACATCCCCGACTGGAGGCAGTCAGACAAACATAGCACCTGCAACAGATTCTTCGGCGCCGGTATTCTATGCGATGAACGTCTGACAGGGACAATAGGTTACGGTGAGCATTGAATTTTATCAGTCTCTGGATGAAAAATCCACGTTGACTTGAGGCGTAGTTCCGTTGCCTTCTATAATTAGAGGCGAGCTGAGGTAGGGCTCAGAAGGTGCGTCGGCGTCAGCCTAATCTGGTTTATAAATTCTTTTGATACTCTCATGATTCGAAGGTCTATAATATATCTTTGTAAAGAATTTTGCGGCAAAGTTGATATCTAACCAGCAGTCGAAACCTCAAGTGTCATTTAGACACAGGCACATATATTTGTTTGAATGTTACTATATAATTAAGAATCTTTTATTAAAAATAAGTCGTATTTTTATCTTTAGATTGACACTTGACGAGACTGGCGTAAGAGATGTAATAAAATTACGTCTTAGTAGGGTGTTTGTTACATAGGCGAAAGTTTATATATTTAAATAATATTCAATTATCCTAATATGTTTATTGATATGATATGTATGATATTATTTGTGAGGTTATCCAGATGATGTTTATATCGTTAACATTAACCCTTTCGTTACGATAGTGGTTTCGGAGTGGCGCTGCTGTACGGAACGACAAGCTGCCCAGCCGGGTTTTTTGAATTTTAAAACTTTTCAATCATTATCAATAAAAATGTATTTAAAATACATGTGTAAAAGACTAATGGACTGATTCTGCAGCACAGCAGATGTATTTTCTGTGTGTTCCGACATATGTTATGAAGCTAGGTCAGAAAGACCCTGTTATCTAAGATCGTTTTTTGACTTTTGTGCGGTTTCTAGGTTATGTTTTCTAACTGACAATCTGAGAAAAACGCCTGGCTGAAACATTGGTCTGTTGTACGGCAGAATCGGTCCATAAAAATTATAATAGTGATTTAGAATTTTCAGTAGTGATGAATCTTGAAGCAAAGGTCGGCACATTGAATGTCTAAAAGCTACACCCGTACACATGTATATAGTTATGTGGATGTCGCCTATATGCTACGCTCGTAGTGAAAGGGTTAATAATTGTTTTCACTTGTAAGATAAGTTTGATACATAAATATGCGAATGTGCAATGTTTGCCATTATTAACATATCGTTTCAAGTTTATTCTGCGTTATTATTTGCAACTTCATATTATTCAACTGACGCCTAAAATGAAGAAGAAAATTCATAATCAAAAACGCTACATTTTTACATAGACTTTCAATTTCGTGCGTATTTCAAACATTCCTAAAAATGTTCAAGAATTGAACCAAAACATTACTATACCATTTAAATTAATAATAATACCTCTAATTATTACAAAGATAGCAAAGTATTATCGAGAAGGATTGAATAGGCAATATGTGTTTAAAGAACTCTGTCGTTTGAGCCAAATATAGATGTTATTATTGTAAATATATAGTGAAGTAAATTTTAATAAAAACTATTAAATTACAATACCAAACTCTATAGAGCTAGTCAAATGTAAAGAAGAGTATTTGATCAAATTCTATCAGTATTAAAAAAAAATTAAAAATTATTAATATGACAAATTTTATAAGATGTATTAAAAAATCACGTTAATTTTTTACTGATGTTACGAAACACCATAGATATGTAGTGGGCTCAAACTGCTTCCAAGTAAATGCACAAAAGTCAGTTATACATATCATATGTGTTGACATGGTAACTGAAAGTCAGTGAATATTTCTTCGCAAAACCCAGTACGGTGTAATTAGATATTGATAGTTGTTACAGAAATCTGTATTACTAATTGATACATAATAATGAAATAAATTTCTATTTGTATTAAATTTTCCAGTTTGGGGAAAATAATTTCAATTCCAAGTCTTTATTATATTGCAATTAAATTTTTCTTTCAAACCAAAGTTATATTGCTAATCAAAATTTTATATTTACTCCTATAGCTTTTAGTTATTCGTAATTGAAACACATACCTATTGCGTGTATATCTATTTTATATTGTATATAGGACATATTATTTTTGTTATGTATATACTGTTGTTATATTAATTGATTAATTAGTACTTATTATTTTAAGATGCACCAAAACTGCAATTTAATTCCAATTTTAATATTATTGCTCGCATTAAATTATTATTTTATATTATACATATTTTATACGTATTATGTCTATGTATTATTAATCATTTTATTTAATTTAATTTGACAATGGAGCTGTTCGTCTCTAATTGCAAAAAATTATAGATGCGCAACTTTCGTAACAATCTTAAACAGGCTGTTTAACTTACAATGCAAAAATTTTATTGGAGGCACAGTTTTTAAAATAATAATAGTAAGTTTATATACTATTTAGTTTATACTTTAATTTGGTGAGAAATGGGGTTTTTTACTTTGGATTTATATAATATTTATTTATTCTATCCGTTGAGATTTTGGCGACAGAAAGTTACCATCGATAGAACTAGATGCGTCAAATTGTCCATTGATTCTTACATAATAGCTGATTTGCAGGATTATCCTATTGTACAAATATTTTATATTATATAAAATGATCAAAAATGACTTGCAGAAAGAGTAATTTTACCAAAATATGTAGGATTGAATTTTAAAATCTGAAGACATAACTGTTTTTGAAAGCGAACTGGGTACCA